CTTGAATGCATTTTTCCTTCCGCTGCAAAATGAATTCTTCCCTGTGAAAGAATATCTGTTGTTATCGCGTCACAGCGTCGACGATTATTTCCGCGACGATAGTATGACGTGGACTTCGAACTGATTTCCTTTTAGTGGATTCCAGTGAAGTCTTTCGAAGTATGCAATTGGATAGTGGACTGTATGAATTTTTGATTGTATCAAACACAATATTGAACAACGATATAGGTTTATTATAACTAGTTTAACGAGATATGTACAATACTGATGTCTGTGTCGAATGTATATCGAAAGGTATGATGTGTTACGAAAATAATACTAATGTTTGAGTGTCTGTGCGTGTCAATTTATAAATTCGGTGTGTGTTCTGATTTGCTGTCTAAATGTGTAGTGGAGGTGGTCGAGATGTGTCCATTGGTGTTCCAATATTCTGGGGGTAGCTGAGGTGTCGAGAAGGTAGGGAGATTGTTGCTAAAAAATGTTTGTTATATTGCAGGGAATCCCTACTGTTTCCTGGTCGGTCGCTAAGTTGGCCGCTTCTGGTAGCCAGATGGGAGAGTTTTGGTAATTGTGCTGTTGGATATTAAATTTGCAGGCCGTGTCGACTAATCCCTCGCCTTGCCTGCCTTGAAGTGTTTTATGACCGAACATCTGTAACCTTCAAAAAACTGGAGAAAAATGACCTTAAAAAGATTGTATTCTTCCTTAGAAACCATTCTAGGTGTTCTCACATTCTTAAAAAGAAAGGAGATATTTAGGTGGTCCGTTACACCTGGAACACCCTGTATAGATCATACACGCAGCTTCTTTCAGGAGAACGATCCCGCGCGCGTAGGATGGGATTAGGAATTGAAATTTGTTGGACTGGTTGGATCACTGTCTCGACTTGTCCAACTATGTCTGAAAATTACTTCTCACTTGAGAAACTACGATACTATAACTTTGTTGTGCAACGAAGGAGAACAGTATAGAATTGTGGAACGTGTAAACTTTGTCGCCTGACCGATCTTAACGACCTCGCTATGTAGGATTTCTTCTACCGACTATTCCTCCTACGATCTGCATACTTCCGCAAATCCTCACCTAGGCACGTCTGACGTCTTGCTGACGGATCAAGTAAATCAGCTATTTCCCTATTCCGTCTATCTTTATCCTATCTCTCTCCTACTTTCATTACCAATCGCCACAGAATTAATCGAACAAGAGTAAGAATAACGCTTAGAAGACAAGCTTAAACTTCAAGATACGCCAACATTTATAATAATTAGTATGGTTAATTGCGAACAGATGATAACAACGTCTTACTAAAGAAACACACCTCTTTCGCTTTCCGTCTATCTTCACACTACCATTTTCCTCTTTTCCATTACCAATCGCCACAGAATTAACCCTTTCGATGCTATAGACCATCGTAGCGTATTCGCGTGCCGCGGGTGCGTGCTTTTATCATCGCCTAGTCCGAACGTTCCCGACATTTTTCCTAAACTCGGTGTGTCCGGGCTACAGTTTTGCCTGCCCGGCCGCATTACGTTAGAACATTCTCAGAGCTAATGTTCACATAGACGTACGCGCACTCATGCTTGCCGGCACGTGCCGATCAGCCGGTAAATACACAAAGAGGATTCGGTTGTCCGTGTTCGCGATTCCTTTTATCACGCCTGCTTCCCACGTATTTGAGAAATTGTAGGTGCCGCATGTTGGCTGCAGACCGGTCTGCTAAATGAAAAATAACGGTCTGCTGAACTAGAAATTACCTATCGTAAAATCGTCCCCTTGCTGTTCTAACAAGGTGGTTTCTCATTGGTTACCCACCATTTAATTAGCAATAGTAATTGCGCCCAACAAAAATTTCCAATAATTTCACCGGCAAGACATATCAAACAGCAACAATTCCAGGGCATTTAGCGGTAACGTACGATTCCCCAGTTCCTCGCGCATCTTTCGCAACGAAGATAATAGCCGGGAGCGGTTTCATTTTGTCGAACTTGGCCATTGTACAGAGAAGCTGCCCACGTACCGCACATTCCTCGATACCGTAAATATCGCAGGTCCGCCGATATTTACGTCCACGTTCCTCGTTTATTTCCTGGGTGCCTTCGAAAAGCTCCCACGGGAGACGATTGGCGTCGCGACCACCGTGTCACTGGTCGAACGAACTCTAGAGAAAAGGAGGACGTTTCCCAGAGAATCAGGCCACCGAGCGAGGGAGGGAAATGGAACGAAGTAGAAAAAAGTGTAAGGGGGGAAGAGAGAGAAAATGGTAGATAAATCGACATGGAGAAACGATACAGGAGATATCGACGACGTTCGACGGTTGTTTCATTGCGTATGTACCAGCTGTCCTGTGGGCGGTGACGGATATCTGGCCTTTGCTGGTAGCGGAATTCAGAACCCGAGCTGGTGTATCTCGTATGAATAAAACGTATTGCTTAGGAAGATCTTATCGAAGATGCTAGACGCTGTGTGTGTGTGTGTGTGTGTTGCGAGGTGACACATGTTTCGAATTGGTTGAGTTAATTGGAACGTTCCAATTGCATCGGTGGACACGTATGGGTTAGGTTAGGTCTCTGTGTTTCTGTCTCACGTTAGACCAGGCGTGTCCAACCTGCGGCCCGCGGGCCGCAATGTGGCCCTGAACAGCACAGTATCGTAAACTTTGAACATTATCGTGTGATTTTTAGCGACATTTTTCACGACTCAATTGCATTATAATAAAAAATATTAAAAAATGAAGGAGGTTTTGTTACTTATGTACGATTAACTGTATCATACAGGGTGTCCCGTAACTCCTCGAACACCCGGAAATAGGGGGTTGCTGGGGTGACTCTGAACAACGTTTTCCTTTACCAGAATGTTAGTTGAAGCTTCGTTTTTGAATTATTAACGAAAAACACTGGTCAATCAGAGCGCGCGTAGAGCCCGCGTCCAGGCACGGGAGCGCAGGGACTAATCCGTGCGCGATCGTGAAGAAACGCATACGCGTGACTTCTGGGTTATCGGTCTTTGTCACAAAAATTTGACTTTGCACTGTAATGACGGCAATAAACCATTTCTCTAAGCCTTATAAAAATAGCGGTGCAAATTCAAATTTTTCTGACAGCGATCGATAACCGAGTAGTCGCGCGTACTCATTTGTTCACGATCGCGCGCGGATTAGTCCCTGCGCTCCCGTCACTGAGCGCGGATTCTACGCGTGCTCTGATTGGCCAGTGTTTTTCGCTAATAATTCAAAAACGAAGCTTCAACCAACATTTTGGTAAAGGAGAAAGTTGTTCAGAGTCACCCCAGCAACCCCCCATTTCCGGGTGTTCGAGGAGTTACGGGACACCCTGTATATTTCGTATGGCCCAGGCAAATCGAAAGGTTGGACACCCATGCGTTAGACTACAGTTCTCCTGGTTAGTGTATTTGTGTAAATTAGATTAGCCTGTACTTTTCCAGATTTCTATTTTTCCAAATTTCAGATTAGCCTATACTTCTACAAATTTCTATATCTCTGGACTCAAATTAGCCCATACTTCCTCAGGCCTCTATGTTTCTATATCTCAGATTAGTCTATATTTCTCCAGGTTTCTAAATGTTTGTCTCTCAGATTAGCCTATACTTTCCCAGGTTTCTATCTTTCTATATTTCCTATGTTAAGCGTGAGGTTCAAGTGCAGGGAATAGTAGCAAGACGCAGTTGTACAGTGATAACACAAACACAAAAATCCTCGAGCGTCGGTAACCTAGAGAACTTCCTCTAGTCTAACATCATATTAGCCCATATTACTCCAGATTTCTATCTTTCTATATTTCATATTAGCCTACACTTCCCTAGGTTTCTGTTTCCGTATTTCAGATTAACCAACATTTCTCCAGGTTTCTATATTTCTATATCTCTAGTTAGCCTATACGTCTCTATATAGGTTTCAGCATTTCAGATTACCCTATGCTTCTTCAGGTTTCCGTATTTCTGTATCTCAGATTAGCCTATATTTCTCCATGTCTCTGTATTTCTATACCTCAAATTAGCCTATACCTCCCTAGGTTTCTGTTTCTCTATCCTACATTAGCCTATACCTCCCCAGGTTTCCATATTTCCATATCTGAGATTAGCCTACACATCTCCAGGTTTCTATATCTCCAGGTACACTTAGTCGACGAGCCATAACGAGGTCGTAAATTATGAAGCTAAGTGAAAACCGATTGATCTAGCCGCGCGCAGGCTGTACGCACCCCATAAAAATCTCCCAAATCTCAAGTCACAAACGGCGACCATAATTCAATCGCTACATCTACATTTCTTACTAAAAAAAAAACTAACTAACATTATTATTGAAACGTAAAATAAAAGCGGCGACCATAATTCAATTGCTACATCTACATTTCTTATTGAAAAAGAAAAATTAACATTATTATTGAAACGTAAGAAAACCCATAAAAAAAGAATCTAAAATAAAAGCTGTGTTAGATTTTTAATAGCTTACGAATTATCTATTAAACGCTAGAATAATATACAAAGGAAAAAATGTACCAACGCCGTACATGCTGTTAGGAACATGCTAAGACTAAGAGAATCCGCTAATAATAATAAAAATTATAGCGGTCCAAATATTTCGAACACCCAAAAGACACTCTATCCATTTCCTTCTCACACACCGAACACGTTAAACGCAACTCCAAGAGTCACGTATTCGCTCTAAAGTTCGAAATTGTATCTCGATTGGTACGACGTTGTACAGAGACGGTTGAACCCATTGAACCGTCCACGTGAAACGCAATTAGCCGAAAAGTCAACCGCGAATGCTTTACACCTGGTGTACCGTTTATATTCCACCAACGTAACATAGATAAACGAGAGAACGGGTCGTGTTGCAATAGTCTAAAGAGGCGCCCCATTCCAGTACGCTCTATATATTTAGCTTCACATATGTATGTCCTGCGTATTCGGTGAAGTAATTAAAGGTTCCAACAGAAGGCACCAGAGAACCTTGTGAACGTGGTTTATTTTTGTTTCAGTTGTCTGGACTGGTGGTGGGCGGGATTGGTATCTGGACAGTGATTTCGAAGCACAGCTACGTGTCCCTGATGACGACCTCGACGTATCCGACGCTTGCCTACGCTTTGATCGTCGCAGGTGTCCTGGCTGTGGTCGGTAGCTGGCTCGGATGCGGCGGTGTAACTTCTGAAAATAGATGCGTTCTCCTCATAGTGAGTAATCGTCCACAAATTCGTTTCTACGAGTGAACTACAACCGCATCTTGCTATTATATCGTTCGAGTAGCTTCTACCTTGTTTACAACGGTTACTTAGAATTTTCAGTTGCTGTACGTAGTTAAATAGTTGTTTTCCAACTATAACCGTTTTAGTGCCACGGGTCTTTGTTGTTTCCCAAAAGTGCCAAGCGGCGCGATCGGCGCTTCTTTCGTTTGATGTCGAAAAATTACAAAAATTTTGTTTTCGACATTTCCACCGAATACGACTGTTTGGAAATAACACGAAACAAAGGCAAAATTGATTATGTGCAGGATTTATGTTCGATTTTTTATAAAAAAAAATAGACAGATTACAAGAAATAGAGTGACATTTACACTTCGTGGGCCGGTGCGATGACACGTTTCGCGACCGCGCTCCTTGGCACTCAAACGGTTAACACTAGGTTTACGGGGCGCGTCGTTTTAACGGATTTCGAATCTCGCTAGGAAAAGTACAGAAACCGTTTACAATTCTCTCCTACCACTTATGCTTATTATAAATTTTATGGAAATATATAATGTCACGTAGTTTCATTTATAAGTTAATAGTGCATAATATTGTAGTATCGGGGCCTCCATACCCAAATAGGGAACCTCGAAGGGAGAATACAGAGGGAGTGGTTGGTGTAGCGCGCAAAGCGTCGGCTTGCTAAGCCGAAGGTCCCGGGTTCGATTCCCGTTGGGTCCCTCAATATTTTTCCCTAGGTTCCTACAAATGGGGGCTCGCCCGGGATGGAGGTATCTACGGCTGCACGAAGCCAAGCGCTGTGAGATGAAAACATGTGAGAGGGTTGCACGTCTCCCAAAAAAGAGTTGAGAAACAGAGCAAGCGCTGTGAGATGAAAACATCTCGAGGGTTTGCACGTCTCCCAAAAATGCGCGTTGTTTCGGCTGTGTGCCACTGTGTGGGGGAGTGTGCCCGAAAGTGTTGAGTTGTGTTGCATGCGAGGGCGAATGTCAATTCAAGATGGCCGAGTGTAGTATCGGGGCCCTCGATACCCAAATAGGGAACCTCGAAGGGAGAATACAGAGGGAATGGTTGGCGTAGCGCGCAAAGCCTCGGTTTGGTAAGCCGAAGGTCCCGGGTTCGATTCCCGTTGGGGGTGCCTCAATATTTTTCCCTAGGTTCCTACAGTATGTTGTTTTTAAATAAAATAAATTGTTTTTTAACGGAAAAAGGTCCGTAAACCTAGTGTTAAAAAACTATATTCGATGCAAATAATCTGTAAATAATCGTTTGATTTAATAGCACGGGTGTTTAAGAGTGTTGATTTAAACGTAAAACTGAAATTAGTATGTGTCCCATGACTTATGGACAGGGATGTACCTACTTACATAGTTCTCCAATTTTCAGACCTGCAACGTTATTGCTTGTACAGTCGAAATTTCAACGAAACACTCATACGTCTCATCTACTTTACTAAAAAACCAATCCTTTCGCTACGAAAGTTATATACAGGGTGTCAAAATTTGTTTTGGATCAAACTTCGTCAGTGTGCTCTATGGGTGTAAGTAGGAGAAAAATGTTATGTACATATAGGTCGTTTGAAGCTTCGTTAAAAAGTTACGACAGAAATGCGAACTTGAGGTTACTGTGACACTGGCAAGCTTCAAACGACCTACGTTTGTATAACATTTTTTTCTTATGTATGCTTCTAGAATGTACTGACGAAGTTTGATTGAAAAAAATTGGGACACCCGGTATGTACACTTTATCCAATATATACAATTTATTCATTTATTTTCGCACTTCGCTAACAAGATATCGCTGTTGATTGAAAGCCAGGCAATACTAGAATGCATTAAACATTTGTCTATCGTGAAACAGTTGATATTCACAGAAAATATTACACGATTCAAATTACATTTGTTCGCTAAAGTTAATATCGTATATCAGTAGAAATATACAGGGTGTACACGCGATTAGTTTGCAACGTTTTTCTCGTAACTGGTAGATTTACGAGGAAAATAAAAGAGGACGAAGTTTCGTTATTCTTTACACGCTATACGATGGAGTCGATAAATTTTTTTAATTTGCAATAATTTTCGCGTAATGACGATACCGCGCATTTTTTTAAATCGACAGCTATAGTTCCTTTTATATTCAGAGGAAATATATAAACTCAATTTCGTATCGCATTTTTTTCGAGATCGTAATAATTTTTTAACGATCGTTTAGGCTTGCTTCACATTCAATAAGTGTTCTAATACTTATCTTCATTTTTATGCCAGCGTTGAATACTAACTAACGAGCACTTCTTCTCTCAAGCCTGTCAAAGGGTTGATGTAAGAAAAAACTGGCGAAAATTAAACGGTAAATCGTCTAATTAATTTAACAGCATCGTGTTATAAGTCATAAAATCCCATGAAATTTTTATTATAAACATTTTTTTTATACCTACTATAGTTTTAACCCTTCCAACCCGGCGTACCGACTCTGAGAATGCGTCGCCGCTTTCCTTTCTTAATTACAGTAAATTCTCTACAAGTATCAGTCAGTTTGGATTCTACAAGTGTCAGTATAGATGGTCCTACGCCTAGGCTGCGTCATTGCTGCGCCTATGTTATCCCGCTCGCTGTCAGTTAAGCGTGTAAGGCTTCACCACTCGGTTTCTTTTACGAGATTTCACGGCTCGACAATTCATAATAGAAAAATATAATTTCTTTAATTTTCCTTTTTTTCATCTTGAATTTGTTTTAACATGTTGGTCGAGATTTCTCTGATGAAAATGAGAAAACGTAGTCCCTGACTCTACAAGTGTCAGGTTTAGGTTCCTTGCGGACTGACACTTGTGGAGAATTTACTGTATTCGGTACAATACTGAATATGGTATATTAAAATCACAATATTGTCAAAAACTCAAATACTTCATAAACAATTCGATATGTTTAGGGCTAAATTTCAAGTCGGCCATCGTGAACGGGCTATTAAATTTCACGTCGGCCGTAGGAAGCGAACTGCTGCAAGCGTCGTCGGGTCGGAAGGGTTTACAATACTGAATATGGTATATTAAAATCACAATATTGTCAAAGACTCAAATACTTCATAAACAATTCGATATGTTTAGGGCTAAATTTCAAGTCGGCCATCGTGAACGGACTATTAAATTTCACGTCGGCCGTAGGAAGCGAACTGCTGCAAGCGTCGTCGGGTCGGAAGGGTTAAAGATATATACAGGGAAGTAATGTAACACTTATCTTCGTTCAAGGGCTGTTTTCACCTCGAAGAACCGAAAAAAGGGGCGAAAGAAAATTGCCCGATACTCGAGGTCCCCTACAAACCTGCAAAGTTTCAAAAAAATCGGAATTTTCGGGTTCCCTTATCAGTCCCACGTTAATTTCCATTCGATAGAATTAACTAGCGTAAATTCGTCGAGTGTATACAGTAGTGGAATATTTGACGAGCTTTTAATCCGTGGGCAGTGTAGCCAATGATCCTCTGGCACGGTAGAGAGTCGATCGAGCCTCGAACCAGTCTACATGAATCTCCTGCCGGATTCATCGCTTTGTCGAGAACATATAACACCGTTGATGGGTGGCACGGTGTCTCTTATCGATCATGCGCTTCCGTGCCGGCCATTTATCAGGGTGCTGCTATTGTCTGATTAATTAATTCTCCGGCGCGGTGCTCGAAAGCTGCGCGCGTAGCCAAGAGAGAGACGGAGACAAAGATAAAGCTGAGGATACAGGAGGTTAGAGAAACCAGCCACTCGAATAACTCGAGCTATCGCTTTTGAAATTACCTATATAGCCGGTCTCTCTCTTTCTGGTAGCAGATGCTCAACGATCGTTCTTGAAACTTTCGGAAATTCCGGTTCGACGAACAGTTGCGTACAGCTTTGTTGCAATGCGTCGCAATGAATCGTTCTTTTTTTTTTTTTTCATACGATACCAGAGTAGAATTCGCCTATCTTGGCGAGTTTATTGGAGTTGCTCTTTTTTTCTCTTCTCTTTCGGTAGACTACGTATATGTGGGATTTTGCTTGGACTTGGGATTTAGGCTCGGAAATGTGTATTTGAAGCAATGATAATGATAGTTTATTAAGGAAAATAAAGAAATTCTTCTGATTTCTCAAGAATTTCTCAAGAATTTCAGGAATTTCTCCAATTTTGGGAATTTTTCAAAGTTCTCTAGATTTATGGAATTTCTCAAGAATATCCCGAATTTCCCAAATTTCTGGAATTTCCCGAATTTCTGGAATTTCTCAAGAATTTCTCGAATTTCCCGAATTTCTCAATAATTTCTGGAATTTCTCAAGAATATCGCGAATTTCTCAATAATTTCCCGAATTTCTCGAGAATATCTCGAATTTCTGGAATTTCTCGAATTTCTCAAGAATTTCTGGAATTTTTCAAATTTCTCAAGAATTTCTCGAATTTCCCGAATTTCTGGAATTTCTCAAGAATTTCTGGAATTGCTCAAGAATTTCCCTAATTTCTCAAGAATATCCCGAATTTCCCAAATTTCTGGAATTTCTCAAGAATTTCTCGAATTTCTCAAGAATATCGCGAATTTCTCAATAATTTCCCGAATTTCTCAAGAATTTCTCGAATTTCCCGAATTTCTGGAATTTCTCAAGAATTTCCCGAATTTCTCAAGAATTTCCCGAATTTCTCAAGAATATCCCGAATTTCTCGAATTTCCCGAATTTTTCAAGAATTTCTGAAATTTCTCGAATTTCTCAAGAATTTCCCGAATTTCTCAAGAGTGTCCCAAATTTCTCAAGAATTTCTCAAATTTCTCGAATTTCTCAAGAATTTCGATCGAATTCCTAAAAAACAGAAACGACCGAACGAAGGCAGAAACGCTCGCGATCCCGCCGCGCACTTACTTTTTCCCCTCCTCGAAAAAAGTTACCGCGTGAAATTTCGTTCACGATTCTCCACGGTGGGTAAACATTCGATGGAGCAGAAGGAGAGTTAAGGTGAAGAAAAAGAATACTCGTGATGGTAATT